GGAACTCAGTGCAGTCTCAGCAGCAGACTGAGATTTAGTGAGGAATAGAGCTGTCTGGAGATGTAGTCTGAGGTTCAGGGATCGCCCCAGCCCTGGTAGAGGTAAGAGAACTCTGGTAGCTTGTCTGCTTTTCTTCTCTGATCTTCAGCTTGAACCACAATATCTGTCTCTGGGTTTTTATTATTCATGTTACAACTCAGTTCATTTCATCCACATGTGGCAAGGCCAGCCAAAAGCTACAGTTCAAGATGGTCAGGTACATTAGCTGATCTTCCCTTCCTTTAATTTGTCTTTAAGAAGATACCAAGTCTGGGATTTATAAAACTAATACTTTCCTTGTAGAATAGCATAGCAAAAAGTTTGAACAAGAGTATAGAATTTGATTAACATTCAAGTCTGTGTATATCAGCAACTAACTCAGTGAATACAGCAGTACTAGCAAGAAGCCATCTCAGATTTGGGTTTCCCAATAAATAATGCTACATTGCTGTGTCCCAGTAAAGTTAGATGAGAAAATATGAAAACAGAGTGTGGCGAAACATGTTTAATGCTAGTAGTCTCCCTCCAGACCATGAATTTCTTGTTTTATTAAAAAACAACTGGGATCTAAGAGGTTAGAGGGGTAACCTAACCCAATATGTCTGTAAAACAGAGAATGTGGTGTTATAGTTTCCCAGGGCCTATCACTTTTGAAGGGTGTATTATAAGAGCCTCCTCCTAATGAGCAAGGACCCACTTTTAGCCACTCTATAAGTGAGCACAGAGACCTAGCTAGACTTAGCCCATGATCCCAATTGTGGGTTCATTATCTTGGGGCTCTCACTCCAGGGGAGACTGTGGAGACATGTCTCTGCTCTTGCTACTGGCTCACTTTCTATGCAGTGGAGGCCTTCCTCGGTCACTGGAGGCTTAAAGAAGGGCATGTGTGGCTTCTGGGAGAACAACTGGCAGTGAGGTAATCAGGTTCTGCTTTTGACTTTGCAGATTCATAGCCATGGGAGGTTATTGCTAATCCTGGAGCATTGTAGTAAGGGGGAACTGAAGGAAAGGAAGCTGGCCCCTGGCCTTGGATAACTGCTTTTCTAGGCTCTGCAAAGATGCTGACCAGCTTGGATTATATTTCTGCTAAATTGGCAGCACAGGTTTTTCTACAGAAATTTGAGGAAGATGTTCCATAAACAATGATATTCCCAAATTCACTGAAATGTGGGAAATTTAACCTATGTTCTTCTGAACATCACCGTCTAGCCAAATACAATAGATCCTCCTCAAGAGGGTCTACAACCTCTGCATCCTTGGGAACATACACTACAACAAATTTGAGCACTACAGTTCAAAGGAAGCAAGTTTGGTTTTGTTTAGCCTACAAATCAGAAGTTAACATAAACCACAGAAGAGTTTAAAAATGTCTGCTGCAACACAGTGAGCATCCGACTTGGCTAGAAAACCAAGTTGTTGTTGTCGTTGTTTTGCTTTTTTCCTTTTTTCTGTTTTATTGATTGATTGGTTGATTTCAGTACTGGGGATTGAACTCAGGTCTTATGTACTTTAGGCAACTGTTATGCCATTGAGTTATACCTCAGCCTTTTAAAACCCTTTTTATTTTGAGACAGGGTCTCTGTAAGTGGCCCAGATTCTAAGTTGCCTTAAACTGTCACTCTGTAGCCCAGGCAACAGTTGAAATTATGATCCTCCTGCCTCACCCTCCCAAGTATCTTGGGTTACAGCGTTGAGCCACCTATAGTATTTTATAATGGGGATGAAATCAAGCAGCCTTTTGTTTTTCAGTGTCGGGAATCAACAGTGATCTAGGGACAGGAGCATATGTGGCAAGCACTCTAGCACCAAGCTACATTCCCAGGCCTGTGGTTGTTGCAAATAGAAGATACTATGTTATACATATAATTTCACAAGAACCGTGCATTCTGCTTGCCCTTGGCCTCCCTTGAGCCTAGGTAAGACGTCTCCTATTAAGGTTAGAATAAGAATATGGCAACTGCAAGCTACTGTGCCACTGGGAATTCCTGAGTCAGTGTGCTAGTGTCCAACCCACCCCAGCCAGGTTCTCTTCATGCTCCCCATCCCCGCTTAGCTACACTTCTCTGTGGGGTTCAGTGGTAGCTGACAAGCAGCTACAGTCCCCTTGCTGAGGACAGTTGGATGAGACTGGAAGCAAAGCATTAGATGCCACACCTTCTGCTGGCTCCCTCAACACCCCTTAATCCATCACTCTCCCTGCACAGTGTCTGTCATTTAACTGCTGACCAAGAAATGAATGAATTGCGTGTGGCGTGTAATGAAAAATCTTCGCCTCCAGAGGAAGTGCAGGGTCTTTTGACTTTTTTACTTCTTTTCACTCCTTCATCTAGGAGGAGCTTGGTTCCTGGAGTGAGTGAATGAGCACCTCAGGCTGGAGACAGAGCCAGGTGAGTGAGTGCCTCTGATTGTCCTCATTCAGTGTTCCCCAGCCTTCTCAGGATTGCCTCCTGGCTCCAGGCCCTACAGGCTGTGCCTGGCTTCTGGCTTTGCCCCTCAGCCTGATTCCCTGATGTTCAGATCCTTTGCCAGAAAGAGGGAATGGGGAGTGATTAGTCTGTGGTGCAAGCCAACTGCTTTAGCCACCCCTTCAGGAAACAGGGTTGGGGATTGGCTCTTCTCATACTCAGGTGAGAATTGCTTAGCTGTCTGCTGTGGTAAAAAGAAAATGGTCCTCATAGGTCCACAAGAGTGGTACCATTAGGAAGTGTGGCCTTGTTGGAGTGGGTATGGCGTTCTTGGAAAAAGTGCATCATTTGGGGGCAGGCTTTGAGGTCTAAAATGCTCAAATGACACCTAGTGTGGTGTTCACTTCCTGCTGCCTGCAGATCAAGATATGGCATTCTCAGCTCCTTCTCCAACACCATGTCTGCTTGTATGCCACCATGCTCTCCACCATAACAATAATGGACTAAACCTCTGAACTGTAAGCCGGTCCCAGTTAGATGTTTTCTTTTATAAGAGTTGCCATGCTCATGATGTCTCTTCACAACAACAGAAATCCTAACGAAGACAAGTACCACCCAAGCAGAACTGAGAGAAACTGCCTTGGAAGGGGACACCATAGCACCAGCTCTGCCTTTCTCTCCTAAAGGCGTCAGCTCCACACATCTAGCTAGGCAGGGGCACTGGAGAAGGTCCGAGCCAGAGGCAAGTCAGACACATTTGTATATATCTCCTTCTGTAAAACACCCATGAGCCTTTCAAGCCCTCTGGAGGGCAGGTAGGTCCACAAGGCAGTGAGATGCACACACAGACTTCAGACTGGGCATGAGACTACCTGAGTAATAGCCCCCTATAAGATGGGTTCAAATCCTAGTTGCCCATGGTTCAGCTTTTTCCTCCTTTTCCCCCATTGGCTCCTAATTTCTCCTCTCCTCTTTGTTCTCAGCAATTCCGGCGCTTTTTAGAAAACAAATGTACAGACACGTGTACACAGAGAGAGACACACACAAGTGAGTTATCAATGTATCGCCCTAAAGTAAGACTCTTCCTCCAAGAAAAGGTGTCATCTGTTGGAACGGGAACTAACAGTCTTGGATGTTCATTCATCCACTTATTCACTCAACGAAAAATTCGTGAGTGTCACTCTGTTATGGACTGTGGGATGCAATTTTATACAACAGGACAGAAATTCTTCTCCTCCTGAAGCTCACATTCTGATGGAATTTTATAAACTTCATTTGGGAAATGAAACTATTTCAAAAATGAAAGTTAGAAAGCTAAAGTCCTAGAATAGAATATTTTTCAAACTTTTTACTGTGTTTGGGTGTGTACATGTGCGTGCATGTGCGTGTGTGTGCGTGTGTGTGTGTGTGTGTGTGTGTGTGTGTGTGTGTGTGTGTGTGTGTGTGTGTGTGTGTGAAGGTCAGAGAACAGCTTACAGGATTTGGTTCTGTTCTTCCATTATGTGGGTCCAGGGATCCAACTCGGGTTTTCAGCCTTGGGGACAAGCACCTTCACTGTAGAGATGGGCCCCTCAAGATATTCCAAGCAAACATTTCGAGTCAACCATAACAGCTTGTTAAACTCTCGCCTTAAGTAAATGGGAGGCAGAGGGAAGCATGCCTCTGTTCTTTAAAACACAGTTTCCTTTCAAATTTCTATTTGTAAAAGGATCATTTCCTCCTGTTCCCTAGGCTGGGCTCTCTCCCCTGTCTCCTGCTTAATCCCCCTAATATACACAAAGCATCCCCCCTCTATCCCACCAGGCCACTCAGTGTTTTTTTCTAAACACCCCCTTTCTTTACCACCCATTTCTGTACTCTCCTCCCACCCAAATTAATTCTCTTGCCCTATTTCCAAGATGTTATCTAAGCTGGCTGGATGTAATGCTTTGCAGATCATTAAACTGCCCCCTGTATAATTTACAGATCCCTCCAACGATGCATGTCTGACTATAGATGTCACCAACAGATGTCTGGGGAGTTACATCCTAGCCAGAATATGCTCTCCTGCAGCTCAGAGAGTTACACTCCTTCTTTATCCTTCGTCTCCTCCTGGGCTAGCAGTCTCCACCGGAGAGATGCTGCTGTTTCTTTCTTTGATAAGATTTCCTCTTTTATTGCCTTGCCTCGTACCCAACAGATCACCTCCGAAGAGTCGCTTCACAACTGACTGAGCTTATCGGCAAACAGATGGCCTCTCTCACAGCACTACTAGGTGCGGCAGACAAATGACATCAGATGTGCTTCTACAGGTGACTACATTCTCAGAGTGTCTTAGGAAAGAAGAGCTCAAGAAAGGGGGCTGGTACAGTTGTCACAGGCCAAAGAAAGCATCTGCAGTCACCATGCCCTGTCCAAATGATTCTGTTCACTCGGACTCCAATTCATTAAAAATATTTAAATTGTGAAACAGCTTGCAAGTTGCATGTAATATTAGAAGAGGACCTGAAGATGGACCAAGAAATAAAAGGCAAATAAGAGCATTCAAATACGTTGTAGAGATGCTATGAAATGTACCTGTTGTGAGATCCACTGCAGCTCTTCTTCTGTTTCTATCTTCATCTAAGGTCTTGCATATGCTTAAACCATATTCATAGACTGAAGCCCAGTATAGTTCTTGAAGGCATTTAATCAGATTTATCCCTCAGCTTCCTAATAGTCAAAACAAAAGGGGAATATAGTTAGCTTTGGGTGCTACCCACTGGAATGAGGAGAGGGAATTATTTTGTTTCTTAAATTTTGTGGGTGGAGGTCTGAAAAGACAGCCATCTTGTGGTGCATAAAACAATCTGACACTTAACAGTTTGTTCAAAACGTCAGTTATACAGCTTTGAGAATGGAGGGTGTGAATGATTAACAGAATCTAAAAATTTTAAAACTATCAAGAATTCAGGAAAAGCACTGTCATTGAAACCAGAAAACAAAACCTCTTAAAAGGGACCAAATGTCATCACAGACACCAAGACCTCTAGCCCATGTAAGAGAGGGGTCCTGGAACTCTTCTTGCTAGAAACATCCACGGGAATAAGATACTTGCTGTAGAGAAGTCCTGTGCTTTGGCCTTTTGCTCGATGTCAGGTCTAACCAGTGTGTCTATCATGGGCTCCCAAGACTGATGCCAATCCTACTCCCCATGGACTGCTGGGTAATATTCTATTCCTGCTGTCCTGTTGTCTGAGACTACAAAGCACAATGAGAATGACTTATCTCTGAAAGAGATAATCTAATATGGTCATAGTTCTTGTTAAAACAGGCCAAAAATATAATGAATTAAAACCTCTGATTCTGTAACAGGTAAGTCCTGTAAGCATGAAAACCAGTGTTTAAAATAAGCTGACAGAGTGATTAGGTTAGGCAACACACAACAATGAGAAGAAGGGAAAGCATGGCTGCCTCTTCTGAGGATCTCACAGTGAATGGTACCTCTTTTTGTAGCTGCAAGAGCTAGCAATCTATCCTGGCTCTGGTTAGCAGAAGGGTCTATGGAAGTTCATCCAAAGCTCACAGAATGCCGGCACTCATAGAAACCACAGCAGGAGACTGGCCATGGGGCTTCCCATGATGTCCTGTTGCTGTAGGTGACACAGGGACCCTTAGTTCACTGGCTCCCAATTCCAAGATGAAATCTGCTTAGCCAAGCCTAGATGGAGGAGAGGAAATAATTCTCTCCTGCTGACTTCTGCGCTGGGAGAAGAACTGTGTGGCCCATCTTCTTTGCCGACGTGACAAGATTTGGAATTGCCTAGGATGCTCATGGACCTGTCTGTGAGGGTGTCTCACTGAGGAGGGAAGAGAAAGAGGAAAGAGAGACAATGAGCTTCACAAACATACCTTCCCCACCATGGTTACACTAAGCCAAAGGAGCCTTTGCTTTTGGAGCTACTTGGTACTGCCAAGTACAGAGCACTCGAGACTGAGAAGACAACGGGAGGGGAGAGGCCTCCTCTCGCCATGCCTCCAACTTCCTGTGTGAGAAAATCCTCGGCCTCCTTCCTCTGAAAGTAATTCCTGAGATCCTCCTGTGAAAGCTGTCCTGCGTGGCCTAGAGGAAAGGAGTGAAAATGTAGGTTAAGAAGATTTGAACAGTATGGTGAGCACCCCAGATTGTTGCGTTAGGCTCTCCCCCTTTGAGGACCATTGTTCACTAGATTTCCCCTTTGCTCAGGCCTTCATCCCTGAAATTTCCCATGTCAGATGCAACCTACTAAATACTATCATACATTTTTTTCTCCTACTAGTCTGTCATCTGTTAATCGTACGTCAGCCTTGAGCCTTATGTTGAGTGGGTTTTTTTTAAATTACTTTTTGTTGTCTGTGTTTCCCAACACCTTCTGACTTGTGTTTGCAACATTCAGTGCACAGGCGTGTGCCAGACATTGTTGTGGGCACTGAGAACATGTGTGGTAACACAAAGCTCCTGTTCTTGGTGGAGACAGACAGCAAGGAAGGATGGCTGACAGGAACTACGATATAATTAAACCAGGGAATAAAAGGGCTAGGCGTGCAGAGGCAAGCCCTTCCATAGACCATGGCTTAAAAGGATGATATATGGGTCTTTAGGGAGGTTCCAGTTACATAAAATGTTCTACGCCACAGTGGGACTTAGTCTTTAATTCTAAGTAAGATAAAAAAGCCCTTGCAGAGTTTCGATTAAAGGAGTAGCTAAAGCACCTGGCTCCTGAATAGAGAACCAACCTTCATGGTATATCAGGAAGGAGGGGAGACTACGGTCATGCCGTTTCTCTCTCCTGACTACCACAGGTGAGGAGAGTACACAGATGTAAGAGTCTGTGGGAAGGGTGCAACCAACCACCACGTCTCAGTTTGAATCTGACATGCTTCCCATTGGCTCATACGGTTGAACACTTGTCCTCCAGATGATGGCCCTGTTTTTTAGGAGGCAGAAGTCAGCCAGCAGAGGATGGTCACTGAGGGCTATAGCCATGCTTGTGTCCTGGTCTGCTGCTGCATCAGGAGCAGCTGCTAACAAAGCTCCTCCAACTGCCATGCCTCCCTGAAGCTAAAAGTCAAAACAAGTCTCCCCTTAAGTTGTTCCCCAAGTTGTTTTTTTACAGAAAGAAAAGCATGTGATATAAACTGAGAGCAGGCTTGAAAGTGTGAGGGACTCTGTACCTTCTACTTACAGCGTTGAGGTGTAAGACTGGGTGGGGTTTCCCTAAATCGTGATGAAGATAAAGGAAGCATCATCCCTCTTAGCTCCCTAGGATGTGGGATCATGACTTGTTCATCCTCCCAGAGTATTAGGGGATGAACAAACTCTGCCCTTTCAAAGCCCCCCCCCAACACTATGGGATGAGCAGAAGTTTAAGTGCTATCTATTATCACACAAGCCAGTCACTGTGCCTGCTCCTGTCACATCCGTGTGAAAGAGGCAAGCCTTAAGCATCTGTCTTTTGTAACATGTCACTTTCTCTCTCGACCTCTGCCCCTGTCAGATCCTAGATGATAAGATTGGGGCTGGTGGGTGCCTAATCCAAGTCATTGAATAGAAAGGATGGCTATAAAAAGTACAGCCAGACGCACAGAGATAACCAGAGCCAGTAGGACACTCTTCCTGGGAACAGAGCTAAGAAATAACACCACAAGAACCGAGTTAACAGGGAATCCTGTGGAAGAGGGGGATCAGTTGTAGAAGCAAGAGGACCCAAGGAAACCACAAGAAAACTCACAGAATCAACTAACCGGGGCTCATAGGGGCTCACAGAGACTGAACTGACAACCAGGGAGCCTGCATGGGACTGACCTGGGACCTCTGCATATATGTTACAGTTGTGTAGCTTGGTCTTCTTGTGGGGCTCCTAACGGTGGGCTCTGACTCTGTTACCTACTTCTGGGACCCTTTCTTCTTACTGGGTTGCCTTGCCCAACATTAATGGGGGAGGAGATGCCTAGTCTTACTGCACCTTGCTATGCCATGGCTGACTGATACACATGGGAGGTCTGCCCCTTTCTGAAGAGAAAGGGGGAGGAGTGGATTGGGGATTGGGAGAAAGACTGGGAAGAGAGGAGGGAGGAGAACCTGTGAAAAGAATAATTAATTAATAAAAAGAAAATAATTAATTAATAGAAAGAAAACTGGAGACTTTTGGCAAATTAGTAATAAAACAGTACGGAGAGCAGCAAAGTCAGTGAGCACGGGGCGTGAGAGGCTCCAGGAGGCACATCACTGGCAGATCCAGGAAAGGTGGATCCCAAACCCCTCCTGCACAGATTTCCAGGGGCTACATCCCACTGAGAGTTGGAGGCATCAGCTCCTAGGTGCAGGCCTTGCTGGCATTTAGCTCCACCGGTCTGTACTCAAGTCAGAGACAAGATCATGAACAATATAGTATCATATACCCTTCCTCTTAAGAAATCTATTGACTCTCTAGCTCTAATCATGTGCCCTCAAAGCCTTTTAAAATGTCTCCATAAGCATGCCAAGTTTGCAGACTTTTTTTTTAACTCCAAGAATATGTCTGTGGCCATAAATACCTTTTAATTCTGTGTCTACTTTTTTTTAAGGCTCTTAAAGGAGCTGATGCTGATGTTTCGTAGTCTGTTCAGTTATTGATTTGCTTCTAATCAAAATGTCTGGTCAACACTCCAGCCAGACTTGGCTCACTTGGCTCATAGAATTAAATGTCAAAGGCTTCTCAATTCTCACTTCCTTGCATGAAGTAGAATTAGGAAGCTGAGATCATATTTTAAGGAAATGAAACATATTTCTTTAGATGAATAAACTGGTCATTTCTTCTCCACCACTAACACAAGTGTTCTTTCTTGTCATGTGTGTGGTTGGCCATGGGAATTAGACTTAGCTTGTTGATTTTAGGGATGTTGATCTCTCAAACCGGGTCTTCAAAAATCTGTCAGTGAAACTCTGAGGGTCAGGACGTGGGTATTAACTTCCTAAATGGTCCTGTCAGTAAAATCCACTCATACACACAGCTGCAGACAAACGAGGGCTCTCTACACAGCAAGGGCTGGCGGGGAAGACAGGCTGCGGCCAACAGAAGCATCATGTTAGTTTCCCAAGGAGCAGACACTGAGCAGTGGATCCTTGAAGAAGCAATTTATTGGGAAGGAAAGACCAAGATAAAAGAAACAAGTAAGCAGAATAGAGAGATGTAAAGAAACTCAAATTAAAGTTGCTGTTGTTTAGACTCTGGCATGGTCTTACAGGGAACTCTGGCTACATAGTAACCTATAGTGTTGATCCCAACTTCAAGCAAGGATGCCACCTTCGGTGCCCTGTTCAAATGTTGGCTCTGACAAGAGGCAAGAGAGTGTGGGTTGTGCCATGGGCTTCAATCTGGCCAATTGTTTAAAGAAGAAGGAGCTGTGAGCTGTGAAAGCCAATATAGCAGAGGATCCTAGGTGACACCAGCAAGGCAAATGATGCTTGGGCTTCTCAGCACCAACCCTTACTAGAAGCAAGAAAGATAGGAAGCACATTTGCTGAGTCATTTTCTTTCATCACTGACACTGCTGTATTCGGTCGGTGTCCCTGGATGACTATGTGAGAACCAGTGATGACTACTTACTGAAATAAAGATGGCACTACTATTGGAATGGCATTGGGTTTGTGGTTTTCATTTGTCTTGTTTTCTTCTTCCCTACAATGATTGGAATTGTGTCTTTCACAAAGATATGAATATTGTTACTGAAATAAAATTTGGCTTTCATTTTATTAGGATTATTCCTGTCCTTAAAAATGTCTTTGCAGATATGGCTAAGGATCTCAAGATACACTCATCCTACATTTCTACCCGAGCTCTAAATCCAACAAGCGTCATTATAACACCCTGGAAAGAAGAGAAATGGAGACAAGAGGGGCTGAAAATGGAACGAACACATGGAGCCACCAGAAGCACGATAAAGTAAAGGGCAAATGTTTCTCTAAAGTATTTTGATCGAGTGTGGGCTTGTTAACCTCTTGATAATGGGCATATGACCTCTAGAACTGTGAGAGAAAGACTTTCTAGTATTTTAAGTCAATCAATTTGTAGCGATTTGTTATAGCAACCATGGGAAATTCATGCTCTTTTCTCTCATCTTGACCAGGTCCATGGAATACTCAGGAGTGTCCATTTTCTAGTATGTAAAAACAATGCCATAGTTGTGCTGTATGTAAGATGTAAGAACAAAACCAATGGGACAGTGGGGATTGATGACAACCTGTAATGGTTATCCATCACATCCCACTATCCTGCCTCTCCTGTCTGGTTTGGCACTAACCAAGACTTTCTGCAGTAGAGTCTTACTCTACCTTTCCAATGTTAACCTCAGCACTGAACCTACAGCTCCTTTTACCTCCCAAATGGACGGTAGGAGCTTTGCCACCATATGACAAGGCCATTATTTCAATGACCGATATCTTTTATATCTTTTTCTTTTGCGTAAAGTAAGTTTTAGACATTTTATTTGAATATCAAATATGTTTACACATAGACATATTGTGGGGCTAGACCTGGGTGAACGGCACAAGCTGAGCAAAAGCCTGTAGCCAACATACAGATCGAAAGCAGTAATGAACTTGTACCCACTCTGTCTGTTCTCCTTCCCACTCACTGTCTCAGCAAGACTGGCTGCTGATTCTGTACATTGATTTTGCCTGGGTTTGAACTTCAAATGACCAAAATTACCGTATATTCATCCCTTTAAATGTGTCTTTGTTTGTTCTTACAATGTTGATGAGTCTTATCTATATCATTGCATGCAATCATAGATTGCTCATTGCCGTTGATGTGTAGCATTTCATATTGAAATAAAGCAGAATTTATCCATTCATGGTGGGTATCTGAGTTGTCAATTTGAGACTATTATAAGCAGTGCTAGCGTAGACATTATAGGATACATGAAAATCATTCATACATCTATATATAGGTTAATCTGAGGGAAAACTGATATCTCTATACAGTTTTAAATCTCCCAAAATATAAGCATCATACATCTCTTAATTAATTGCAACGTTTTAATTTTTTTCTCTCAATATTTGGTAGTTTGCTTTGTTGCGGTCTGGTATACCTTTTATTAGATTTATTCCTAGTTTTAAATATTTTTTCTCACAATTAGAAATGGATTAGGATGCTGGGATTTGAAGGCAATGAAAAACGTTAACAGCTGAGTTTTGTTCCTTCTGAAGACAGGATAATAAGATTTCCTTTTATTTAAGTTGAAGGCAGAAAAGAAGTCTTGAAACATCCCAAACTGCTGAGATGGACATAACAGAAGTATTTAAGAACAGAGGCCACACTTAGCCAATTAAACTTCAGCTATCAGTGTTTGCTTCTAGAAGTGCTTTGTGTGCCACAGAGGGCTTTCCCAGAAAAGGAGCCAACAGTAACAACTCAGAACTGCATGGTGTGTATAAAAGAAATAAATCTCTTTTCATTGATACTTGGCTACAAAGTTTAGTACTCTTTATAATTCCAAATATTTAAAAAGGAATAGAGAGACAATATCCGACATTTATAGGCTCTTACTATATGTCAAGTGCGTTTACACAAATATCTCTTTTAGCTTTCATGACAACCCATATGCTGCTAACATTTACTCAATTTTACAGCTGAGGGACCGGAAACGAAGAGATTAATGCCCCACATCACAATCTGTCATTGAGAGAAATGCAAACCCAATGTGACAGGTGCCAAAGGAAACCCCTTCAAGTAGCATTAATAGCTGTCTCCAACTATCAAAATTAAAGATATGCTCATTACAGAGATTTTGGGAAATATAGAAAAGCACTGAAGAAATGGATTTCCCAGATACATATTTATTTTTCAGTTAATGTCACTTTATACTTTCCTCATGTCTTTATATATCCTTCTACAGCATTTTAATGTTTACATAATATTTCATCAGCTAAGTCAGCCATAATTTTTAATCAAATAGCTCTTGTTCTGGACATTTAAATTATTCCTATTTTTCTTATATCGAGTAACGACATGTTGAACTATGTGTCTGTATCCTTACAACCTTTCACATACCTGTTATCCTTCATGAAAAATCCCTTCAAGTATTCCGTAGAGTTGAAGAGCTGAAGTATTACAATTCTTAAGATCCATATTCAAGCCTCCCCTCCTCCCCCTGCCAACCTCCCCAGTAACTCATCTTTCCTTCCTGCTCCACTAAGCACGGAAGTGACCGCCTGCTGTATCGAGAGAAATATTTGCCAGCTGAATAGGTTTAAAATATCTTAGCATGTTTACTCATATTTCTTTGAACTCCAGTGGTCTGAGCACATACTTACTGGCCACGTGTATCGCTCCATTTGGACCTTAGTGTTTCTCAGAGAATAATCCCTTGATCACCTGTGTCAGAATGCCTAGTTACATCCTAATAGGCAGACCTTTGAGTTCCAAAACCTGACTATTGAGCCAGATTCTAGATAGAGGCCTGCTAGTAGGGAGGCCTGGCTTTGTTCGGGTTCTGCTGGAATGCACATGCACTCTGAGGCACAGCTAGCCTCAACCCTCCTCCAGCTAGTCTCTGCACGTTTTACACCTAGAAGAGCTAACAAGTCTAAATTGCAAGGAACCGGTTCACTTATTCATCAAAACCAGCAAACAAAGGTTCGGTTTTTCTGTACAATTTCACACGTGCTTTCAGGCATTGTTTTGGTAACTGCTGTGACCTGCCGAGGTACAGGATTCAAAACTGACCACAGGAATAAACTGTAAACCCATTTTGTGTGGCATAGTCAAGCCAGGAGAGCGGCTTCAACACTTGTGCCAAAATAAACAAGAGCAACAAGAGAGGAGATTCTAAAAGTGGGAGATAAACTTTTGCCTGTGAACGTCTGAGAAAATTTGAAAGTATGAAACTGAGGATATAAATGAATGCTGGGCTTCAAAGAGCCAGGTGGCAGGTACCGCACGGTGGTCCATAGCCTCGTCTGTCTTTTTCCTAGAAGCAAAAGCACTGTTTTCGTAAGGATGGCACGTAATGCACACAGGTATTTGCTTTAATGTCTACCAGATATTTCAGGGACAAAAGACTATATGTAGTTAGAATCAGCTTCTCCCCATATGCCTTTCCACAAACAAGCAAAACCTAACTATATCACTAGTTTTCGATGTTATGTATAAGGAAAATCTAAATGCATCAGTGGTAATGCTATAGTATAAGGACAGTGTGTGTGTGTGTGTGTGTGTGTGTGTGTGTGTGTGTGTGTGTGTGTGTGTGTGTGTCCAGACATGTTGTTTTGGTATATGAGAGATTTATTATAAGGGATTGGCTCACATGCCCATGGAGAATGCAAGCCTTAAGATACACAAGATAAGTTGGCAAGCTAGAAATAAGGGAACGATGACAGCTTTGCTCCAGCCCAAATTTAAAGACTTGAGAATGATTCACTGTTTTCGTCCAAGTCCGATGACAAGAAAAGAGTTGCTGTCTCAACTCAACAGTCACCAGTCAGGAAGAAAGGCCTCCTGTCTTAGGAAGGGTCATGAATTTTGTTCCAGTCTGGGCCTTCAGTTCAGTGAATGAGCATAGCCCCACATCAGGAAGAAAAAAAACTGCCTTATTCATTCTATGACTTTAAATGTCAATTCCACACACCTAAAAAATATTTGATCAATTGTTTCAGCACCATGATCTAGTCATGCTGACATAAAATTACTACTATTTATAAGAAAGAAATAACGGTCATTTAATAATGACCACCACAAAGGTGGGTCCCTAATGCATGATTGGCTCCTTTAAAAAAAAAAGATGTGAGTCAGTGTATGTTCACATTCATTTGGAAACCACAGGGCCACCATCATCTTTAGGAGTACCATCTACCTTCTTTGAGACAAGATTTCTCATTGGCCTGTAGCTTCAGGGGCCTTTCTGTCTCTGCCTACACTAGGATTACAAATGTCTACGGCTCCACCTGGTTTTCTGCATGTGTCCTGGGGATCAAACTCAAGTCCTTAAGCTTGTGAGGTAAACACGTTACCAGCTGAGCCATCTCTCCAGCCCATGACTGATGTCTTCAAAAGATGAGAAGGTTTGGACTCATACAGAAACACCAAGCACGCACACACAGAGAGGACACACTACAGGAGAACATAGCAAGAAGACATGCAGGCAAAAGGGTGGGTCTTCAAAGAAAGCCAATGATTCCCACTCTTCCATCTTGGGAATCTATCTATCTTACAGAACAATGAGAGAATAAACTTGAGTTGTCTCAGCTACCCAGCCTGTGGCATTTCGTTGTGGCACTCGGGGCTGTAGGAAGAATCATTTGTTTCTCAATGTCTGTGAGTGAGTAGTTTCTAAGGACAAAGAACACATAGGTGGTGGTCCTGCTGATAAGCAGGTCACCCATGATCTGGGCAAGCTGGAAGCAAAATTCACATTCAACCTGCAAAGTGAGCCACTGAATGGGAGGCTGGGGTGGGGGATGGCAACAGTCCATGCCCAGAGCTGGGCCTATCTCCTGGCTGCATGGGTACTATTGTACACTGAGGTGTAATTGCTGTTCCCCAGGCAGAGGTGGGGTGGAGGGTAGAAAATCCCTCTAAAGCAGAGGTTAGTACACTCTGGGAGAAGTTCCCAAACAGGAGCAACTGTGTTCAGCAAATGATTTTAAAAAGCATCCTTTATTAAACTAGTCTAATGCCAGCTAAACTGAAAACACTTCCCAGAGCAAAGTTGAGTGAAAAAGAAATTTCTTATTCCCTTTTTCTCTTGAGTTGAGGTATTGCTATATCACTCATGCTGGCCTCAACCCCTGGGTTCAAATGATTCCCCCTGCCCCAATCCCCACATATCTGGGACATAGGCATGTACCATGACACCCAGTAAGGAGACAATCCATAATTAAAGAGTCACACTGGGGACCGCATGCATTCTGGCTCTGCTGATCTGAAGGGAGCTTTCTGGGTGCCAACTCTCTCCCTCTTCCTGTTAATCCCTCCAGTCAGATCCTTCTAGGTCATATCACCTGACCATGATGGACTCCCAACAGGAGGCTTACAACATCCTGTACCTCTGTCCTGGGGATCTGAGGGGCACACACACACACACACACACACACACACACACACACACACACCATGTGTGGCATACACATACAGAGACACACATAAACATAAATAAAAATTAATCTCTAAAACAACATGGGCATAATTCTTAGAAGCCTTTGAAGGTTCCCTCTGAATATGCTGAGGTTTTAGAATCATGAAAGAGCAGAGCTCAGTAACTGTCATCCACCGTCTGCCCACCCTTATGAGGACAGTGAACCTGAGTGCCCTGGTACCATCTGTATGATCAGTCGGGCCCAGGCCAGGGAAGATGCCTTGTACAGAGCAGGAGGTTGCATGTCAGTTCATATTTTCCAAAGCCTTGATTTTGCATTTCTCATAACATGATGTAAACATTCCTCCTGCTGAGAAGCAGGAACTGCACCCGTCCCTGGAATCTGAACTGCAGCGGGAAGGCAGCCAAGCTACAGAGGACAGCGGGAGGGTCCTTCAAGGCAGGGCCACACCTCTGGCTACCCAGCACAATCCTGTCCCTGAAAGTATCACCCCTTCCCTTTCTCACTCTTTCATTCGCTCTTGCTCTAGACTTTTCCCCTTGGCTTAGCTCAGCCACCTGGAGAGGCCATGTTCCAGATGACAGTCATAGACTCAGCAGACAGCCAAGATCAACCACAAGACAAGAAGGCCTTTGGATAATTTCAGCCACTGCCTTCACATTGCTGGAGCAATGTGAAGTAGACAATATGTTCCTAAGCATGCTTCTCTGGTTTGTAGATTTATGAGCAGCATACAGACATTACCATTGTTTCAAGCCGCTGATTTTGGGGTGTAATTTGTTACACAGCCGTGTTGACTGAACCAGCCTGTCTCCTCATGATACCCTAGAAAACCAGTGACTGCTTTCTGCTCTGCTTCAGCATCTCTCAGGGGTTTCTTTCATGGCTGTCTAATTCACACAAAGATAACTGTAGCACCTCCGCTTTACCGGCGAGGAAACCACATCACTGACAGACAAAGCATTCTGTCCCCAGTCTTGCGGGAGTTCTACGACTTTCATAGCAGGTTTGAAATGTGGCTCTTCTCCCTTTAGGTCCTCCCACCTTCTGGAAAGGTCAATGACCTCTGCTCTCAAATTTATGTAGTGCAAATTAAGATCCTGCCACTGTATAGTACAGAATTGGCACAGGATGCTTCCCCTCTGAGTATGGAACCCAGCACAGAGTCATGCACAGAATCACCAAAAACTAGCCTGTTAGCTTCTCCAGAAGCACAATGCATTTGACAGAGTGATGCTCTGTGACCATCCTGAATGGATGAAGCAATGATGGTCTCCCATCGGTCCACTCCCTGCCTCAGTCCTAGGTGAGGCTAACAAGTTGGATTTTGCATGACAAACATGGAATAGACTGTATGCTTGGTCCAGAATGGAAAAGGTCGGGTGTTTTCCTGCATCTCCCTGGATCTCTAGTTGATAGAAGCACTCAAAATTCCAGATTTGAAAAGAACAACCACACACAGAGACACACTGGTGCCATCCCATCTATCTCAAAGCAGGGCTAAGGTGCCCACTCTTTCAAGGTCTGCCCTTGCCCCAGCTCTTGCCTTGGAGGAATCGTTTCCAGCACCTGCTTTAACACTGTACCAAACTAAGAATGAACCCAACCTGGTAGAGCTAACTAGGTGCTCACCACAGAAAATGGGCTCATCCATTTTTTTTCTAACCATGCTGGGTGTACCAAGGGACAGCCAAACCCTGTCAAGCAAACAATGTCTATAACCCAAATTAATACAGAGATGGACCCAATTCCCTGACAGGCGTGTTAAATGTGATTAAGGCTACACAGCATTCCCCACATACCCATCTGCTGCACGGAGGAGCACACAGCTGTTCTGCTTTCGGACATACAGTTTCTTGTCAGTTTCAAATGCATCATGTCTTGTTGATAATCAGGACCCACTCACCCACCCCCATCCCCCTCGGGACCAGGAGGCTTCTCTAAGCAGTCGGTGATAGCCACATGACCCTGATTGCAGGTCTTCAGTCAGTGATAGTCATATTTTTCAGCTAGACCCGCTGGTTACCCACTCCCAGGATTCTCCTGTCTACATACCGCAGTGCTGGGTCATACGTGCACACTGTCATATCTGG